CCATGACATTTTATTCTTTCCACATAGCTTTATTCTTTTTATTTGTCTTCCTGAGATTTCTTCATGTTAATAACATTCATCCTAAATGGCATTGTTCACTCTTTGACAGTCTCATGTGGAGTTTCATGCTTGACTTAATGGAAATATCTCCTTAGATGCTTTGACCTTCTATATATTTGTTTATGTATTAAGTATCTATAATATATTAAACATCTGTAACTATAACATTTTAAAATTTTCACCAAGTAAACTTGTATATACTGAGGATAGAAACTGTGTGTATAGAAAAGATAGGATTGAGGGGAGAGGGTTAGGAGGACATACCTGGAAGGCAAACATGATATAAAGATTCCGTAATAAACACTTGGATTGAGGAGAACTGTATTTGGATATTTATCTATACAATAATATAATTTCTACCTCTTTCTTACAAGAGATCCCTAAGAATTATTTCCTATGCAATCAGTACTAGATGGACTTGAAAGTAATTTAAATATGGTTTAAAAAAATATATTTACATTATAAAGGCCTTAGAGGATTGCCTCTGATTCACTGATTCTAAAATGAACACTTTTTCACACTTCAACATCTCTGAAATTGAGAAGCATGGCACAAATGGTGGCACTCTGCAATTGTCTTGGTGCCTTCAGCTTCTGGCTACCGTACTGCTCCAGAGGAGGAGCTGAGACAGGTACCTGCTCGCCATCCCTCCACCCTTCTCCTGACCTGATTCCCACTCTGACCCTGTTCCTTTCACCACTTGACACCTCTTGTCACTAAGAAGATCCTGAACTGCAAAACATTAACTTCAAGTTAGGTGGATTTCCTGGGCTGTGAGTTGCTTGTGATGCCTATCTGCTGCATAAAGTACCCATTAATGACCCTTCTTTGCTTTAAATGGGCAGGGAATACTTGACAAACTCACCTAAGGGACTAAGGGTGAAGTCTAAAAAGGCTTAATATATACACAGTAAAATTTCTAAGTGAGAAGCAAACAAAATCATAGTGCATTTTACAACTGAGTGTCTTACATTCAAATAAATATGATAGTAATATTAAATGTTGTATGTCACATATGTCTTGCTGAGCCCTAATGTCTTTTTGCTCTAGTGTTCACCTGCATCAACTTCACAGGTTCCAATGCTGTGATCAGTTTTTCTCTTTCCATAATCCCTTTCTTGATGGAGAAAACTGTACAAAATCTCACTGAGCAATCATCTCTCCATGTCAACAGTTGTTGGGAGCCAGCCACGGAGGCCCACTGAGCGTTAGGGATCAGGAAGGGCCGTTGACCCCAAGACCACCAGGATGCGTTCAGGAGCTATTGACCCCATTTCCTCCCCCTTTCTACTCAGCACTAACCAGATTAAGCTCCTGTGAGCTCAAAACTTAAAAACTCTGAGACCGGGACGAACACAAGCTAACTTTAGAAGCTCATTGCTCCCATTCTTCCACAAACTGCAGTTTTGGCTTTCACACAACTTATAATTCAAACTTGTGTCACATCTAAGAGCCTTAGTATTGGTCACAGGCTTCTGGGTCATGATCTTAGGATTTATTGAAGGTGTAAATTGTAGAATATAGTTTTAGAAGACAGCCATTTTGTTGAAAGAATGCAGCTGGGTTACTTGCAGGTAGCCCATTGTGAACTTTGGACTGGCCCACATTTCAAACATTCTGGGATGGGCCACTTTCGTTTGTAAAGTAAATACTTAAGCTTCTATAGAATTGTTTAACTTGGCATAAATCAATCATCTTAGGATGAAAAAGGTTTATAGAATATATCAGTCACAGATTAGGTTATCCTTTGTTATGGGATTTTAAGATTATCATATGAAAAGGGTTTAAAGGCAATCACTGATTAAGTTTTCATGGATTAAGGTTTCTGGTGGGTGGGGGACGCCCCTCCCACATCTGACTTTGTGTATAAAAGACCTGTTGTAATTCCCAATAACCCTCATATCGTTTCTGCACTAGACCGGAGTCCAGTCTCTTTCTTTCTCTCTCTCTCTCTTTCTCTCTTCTTCCCCCCAATCACCGACGCCGTATCCACCTTTGGGGTGCCCTGAATCTGGCTGGAGCAGGTCTCCGGCAACCAGTAACATTCATTTTCATGCTGCTGATAGTAAGACAGTGCAAGGACCCCTCTTATGGTCTTATGGGGTGGAGGGTGGCAAATATGGAAATAAAGGAAAATCTTGAGTTCCTTCAAGGGAAATTCTCAGCACCTAGCTAGCCCTGATAAGTAAATGAACAACCTGATAAGCAAGAAGGTAATAATAGTTTAAAACAATAGCCAAGGAAGTTAAGGCCACAAATTGAAACTAAAGATAAGGTCTTGACATATGCTCCTGAGTTGTTTTTCGGAAACCTGGCTCCCCTGCAAATGACAAATGATCTCTGTTGGCCCATGAACTTCAGACAAGGGAAAAATGAGACCTGAACTCTCGCCAACGTTCTATGTTCTAAATTTCTTCCCGAGGGGCCTGGAGGAGGTCACAACCACAAGGCCAGAGTTGAATATTCCTCACTTCTGACCCCAAGCTTTTAGACAAACCTTGACCAATTGCAGATCAGAAAATCTTTGAATTCACCTATGACCTGTGGGCACCCACTTTGAGATGCCTCACCTTTTTAGACCAAATCAATATATAGCCTCCATGTACTGATTTATGACTTTGCTTTTAACCTCTGCCTCCCTACCTTTAAAAACCTTTACATACAACCACTGGAGAGTTTGGGTCTTAAGTATTAATTGCTCAATTATCCTTGCTTGGCATCTTGCAATAAACGCCTCATTTTCTCTTGCTGAAAATCCTAATGTCAGTGTTTGGTTTTTCTGCAGTGAGAAAGCGAATCCATGTTCAGTTTGGTAACAATATTCACTTTATCTCTGAAGTTCAATTGAATAAGTCTGAGACACAACTCTACTTTGAACATGGGTAAAGGTTAATACCAAGGAAATGGAATTTCAAAAAGAGGCTCAGTCATGAAAATAAAACAATGCCTGTCAGCCCCTCTGGCTGGTGTCAGGTGAGTGTTCTTACCTGCGGTTGCCTACACAGAGGCTTTCATGTGAGCAAATCCGGTAATTACACATCTCCCACAGGGACATTTTGCCTGGTGGGTGGCACTATCTCTTTTGTTTTGACTATTACCTATTTCCTTATAAACTGGATTGTGCCTAGAGCTATGTGTACAGGGGGAACAAAATTTGAATATTTGTTCCATTAGGTTTAAAGGGTTTGGACTCTCTGTTTTATAGCTTACCAGAGAGCAACAAATCTAGTTCTATTCAGGGGATTTAATTCACATCTCATTAACTACCTTGGCAAAACCCAACACTAGCTGTGAAAGGCTAATTTGATTAAAGAACTGACAGACATTACTTCTTTCTGACTAATCAAGTTAATTTTAATGGAGGTAATAATGTCTCCCTGGTAGGCTATCAGGTTGTGGGAATCAAATAAGTTAGCTAGCATATTCTGAATGTTTTATAAATTATTAAATGTTAAACAAATATGTGATTATTGTGGCTCTCTTTATTCCTTTGTTATGCTCTCCAGATTTCACTTCTAATTTCTTTTCCTAAGAAGTCTTACCTACTTATTTAGCTGAGGGTAATCCTATAAGCCTGGTCTACTATCGCCCATGTTTTCAACTAGTAAACTGATTAAATAAACATGTTTGAAAGCCTACCATAGGTCAGTCAGGCAAGATAAAAAAAAATACCCACAAAAAGTACCTACCACTATGCACTCATTTTGAAATATCTGGCTACGAATTAGTAAGATAACTCTTAAGCCCTTACCGGCATTGTGCGTGTGCAAGGGATGGGAGTGAGAGACGAAAGGAACAATTACTGAAACAATTTGGAGAGAATTGTTAAGCACTCCAACCCCAAGAAGACAAAATGGAAGATGGGTTCCTGGTTCTGGACATGTCTATGGGCAATTTTCCTCCAGCCATGCCTGTACCTGAGCCTACAAATCTTATTGCTGAGCTGAATCTTTGTCACCTGCAACCACAGAGTGAACTTACACAGCTTTTCTAATTTTTAAGTTCTGATCATTCTTATCCCCATGTCAAGACAGAGTGGTTTCCAAGGGAGTACCAAGGTTTTATATGTGTGCTCTGGTCACTCTCAGAACTCACGAATTAGGAAAGTTGTATGAGTTCCCACTGTGGTTGCAAGTGACAAAGACTCAGCTCAAGCAAGAAGGGAGATTTGTGGGCTCAGGTACAGGCCTGGGTGGAGGGAAGTTGGCTTTAGGCACAACCAGAACCAGGAACCAATATGCCATCAGAATTCTCCCTTCCAACAGAAAGAAGCTGAGTTTGTGAATCAGCTTCTTTCTCTCAGCTGGGTGTGTACATAGTGGGAAGAAGTGCTGATGGCAGATTCACATTTTTATGACTTCGTGGCCAGAGACGAATGAGAAAATTGACTTCTCTCCCATCTCTAGTTTTTAAATGTGGGAGAAACAACCTGAATGGTACATCCTGGTATGCCCAGGCCTGGGTATAACCACTGTGAACAGAGGAAAGCTACTAGAAGTGGCAAGTCCTGGCTACATGGCTGCTACTTTGTTATCAGAGAAGCAACACTGATGCTGGGCAGTCTAGCACGAGAGCCACTTCAAAGTGCAGGCAAACTCAGCACACCACTGGGAAGTTAATTAATATATCTGTATCATAAAGGAAAATGTTAGACACAGGCAAACAAATATTGACACATGAAACTTTGGATAATCAACTTTTATAACCATATGATTGGCTCTGACAAGGAGCAAGTTGTGAAACTGACCTAGGTAATGTTTCATTTGTTCTTTCTATAAGGATGATATATTTTCCTTGGTAAGATAAAAAGAAAAGCAACAACTTGAGTAGGAGCAGTAAAGTGTGCTGACTTTATTAATAGCCATTCTAACATTCTGTTGCATTACTCCCATGTTTAGCCACATAATTCCCAAGTGAAATAAAGGGCAGTCACGCTGATATGAATCAGTTTGGAATATTTATTGTATTTCTTAATGCATTTCTTAACATGCATGGTATTCTTTAATCGAAAATATAAAGTCATCTACTTAGGTTTTGTCACTCAAGGTTTAGAACATTCTTAAAATCACATTATCTTAAAGAAACAGACTGGAATGATAGGCAAGTAAGTTTGAAGATATAATGACCATTAACATTTTTCAAAATAATAATACAGCTATATCTTACACTCATGGACCTTGCACATTCTAAGAAGGGTCATTTTTCACCAGTACTAGGAGAGTATGCTTTCAATCATGCAGCCTGCTAGACAGGCTTGTTTTATATATGGAGTGTGCTAGTTACAAAAAGCCTCTCTCCTCCTTCTGACATTGTATAGGACACAATTGTAGCTGTTCTAGAAGAGAAGTGAGTTTCAGTGACCACCATCATCTAGAAACATGCATAGATTCCTATACTTAGTGCCAGAGGAATGATCTATTGCACTGTACTCTGCCTACCTCTATCTAGAGGTCAGCTGTCCGGCCTGTCTTCAGGGTGCCTAGCCTTTGCCATCAGACATCCAGGATACTTCTGAAACGATCTCCATGGGGAACTGCTTGGTACTAAGGATACCTCTAAGGAAAAGTTTCTCACAAACCTAAGTCACCATGTTTATTCCCTAACAATAAAGTCCACTCACTCTTCAAATTCTGGACTTGCCCATCATTATTTTCCCTACTTGGCTAAAGCTGAATTAATTAGCACTTTGTTAAAGGAAGTAGCCTTAGCAGAATAAAAACCACTGTTCTGCAGAAAAAGTCATTCAATATTTCAAGTCTTTTCTCAGCAGAAATGAGAGCCTGAAAAGAAAGTATCATTATTATTTTTTAACTCTGCTGTCATTGTGACTAAGGATTTATAATAAATTACCTCACAGTTCTTGGCTTAAAAGGAGGTATTGTACAAGTAGCCCACTGGGCCTCAGTAACATAGACAAATAATCTTAAGCACCCTTGTGGATACAAAGGAATACTGCACTGTTTTAAAATGAGAAAACTGTCTGAGTAGATCAGTTAGGTTTCCAGCCCTCTTCCCACAATAAGCCTTAGTCTTTGTCTAAGCACAGACGGATAGTTGGTTTGCTTATAAAGGCAACTTCTTGGTAGGATGTCAGCACCAGTAGATCCTATACCCTTTGGTCTCTCCCATAAACCAGCTACTTCTTCCTTTCCTCCCCCACAGAGACTTTCTGCTTGCCATCTCGAGCATCTATTCAACTGCAAGAAATATAGGAAAACAGAGATACTCGGGGAACAAGATGTAATCCCCAAATCAGAGCCTCCAAAAAAAATTAGAGGAGGTTAAAGGAAAAACAATCATTATGATGGCATCTCTCCTAACCACAAATTCACATATATGTTACCTTTCTTTCAGGACTAATAAATATAACTTCGTTGTGAGGGAAAGCACATCAATGAAACTCTTTTTGGGGCCCATCTTGGTGAAAACTGCATATAATTTAACATGCAAACCACATTAGGCAAAGATACATTCAGCGTGAGCACCAACTTTAAAGACAACCTTCTCAGCATTAAAAAATAAGATCATCATAAATGTTTACATTTTGTTTTCTGTTAAAATGTCATAGCACACTTGAGAGAACAAAGTCCATATGATTGCCTAAAGCCTAAAATACTAGAAGAAAAGTAATTTTTAAAAACCTGCTTAATATATAGTTATAATTACTAAGTTTTTTCAATTAAATCCTATGTATTTAAAATGAAAAACACGCAACCAGAGACAAATGTTCACATATCAATTTGTGATCTGCTGCATTGGCATGAGTTTTGGTGAAACCTGGTAAAAGAAAGAGAAAAAAAAAATCAAATTAGGCAAAACCACATGGTATAAATATCTCTCCTTTGAATTCCCAAACTTGAATGATGTAGACAATAAGCAGTCTTGCCATGGAAATTGCCTGGAGTTTTCTTACTATTTTCCATTTTTGAACATCGAGACAAAACTCCTGTTTACATTTTGAGTAGTTAGTGGTTCTCAACCATCTTGTATTATGCTCCTAAGTTAAGGATGTCTGAGGTTGGTAACAAGGAGGGAGGGAAGAGGAACAGAGGTAGATAAAGGGTCCTGATAACCAAGCCCCCTGTTGGATGGATCACTGATCTTTGAGGCTGACGCCTTTGAGACTTCACACAAGACACTGTGCAGAGCACTTCTCTAAATCCTCAAAATAGATCCAGTCAATTGGCAATTTTGCTGAGAATTCTTTATGTAGTCTTTGCAGTAACTGGATACATATTGGTAAAGAGATGTATAATCAATTATAAATCTTAGCACAAATGTCAAACAGAGTGGAATAACACAAAGGCAATAAAAAGCTTCCAATTTATTACCAAAAGAAGTTAAGGGTATCTAAACTACTAAATGTTGATTTTAATTGTGTTCAGTGTATAGAGCAGCAAATCCTTTCTGGGGAGTCTTGAAGCAGAGAAAAATGAAAACAAGTCAACATTTAAGGTAGAGCTGGTAGAAGGAGAAACCTAAATGTAAGTAGTCTGGTTTAATTGTGACAAATTTTTCAAAGTATGGTACCAGTTTAAGATTTCTTAATTCAGTATGGCAAATATCCTTTGGATCTTAGTTAGCAATAGACCCCATGAAAAGCACAGCAGGGAATACTAGAATTTAGGAGCTTTATTGAATATCTCAAGGATGTGCCAATCAAAATGGGCCCAATTAGCACTTTGCCTTCCAGTTAACAGTTAATATTTTGTTAAATGAATGAACAAATGAATAAATGACTAATTAAATAAGCTTCAAAGAACTAGAAGAAAGGATCCTAACAGAGATTAAGTCAGTATTAAAAACTGAAAGAGTGTGTAATTATTTGGTTTTGATGAGGTTAAATATTTTTAGCTTTTAAACCCTTAAAAATAACCTGTGTTAACTCCTTGCACTGAAGAGTTAATACCTTCTCTTCCATTTTTCTATTAAAAGAATTAATAAAAATGAGAGTAAATAAAATCTTAAATATTAGAATAATAAGAACAAAAAACTTCTAGTAAGATAATAAATGATGATTCAATATGGTCTGTTATACACTAAGGATAAATGAGAGCTCAGACGTGTCATTTCCAAGAAGAGAAATATAATAATAAACAAAATAATAAACACAGAATAAATAGGCAAAAGTAACAGCCCACATATGTATACACCTTCAACTCTACGGAAAATTAAAAAAATATGGGCTCCTAGAATTTAGATAGGTATGTCTCACTAATTTATTTTCTTTTTTTTAACAACAGAGCATCTGCAGAAATAATTTAATGAAACTCTTCTTTTTCTGAATACAGATTGTTTCCAATAGATGCTTCATAGCATTTCCTTAAAAAGGAAAGTGGACATTTTAGTTTTTTAAAACTAAACATCTGATTCTTTTCTTTGTCATATCAGTACTCTTAATATCATTTATATCCTCAATGTGGAATGACTTTTATCAGTAAAGAAGATGAAGCTTTATGTAGACTGGCTTGGCCTGCCTGTTTTGCAATGAAAAAAAAAAACCATCATTTCTCATTTCTACTAAACCACCATTTCTCATTCTGTTCTCTCACAGTCTCTTTGACATCGTAAGCCCATGCAAGCCAAAGCAGATTATCCTGCCAATGTGGCCTACAGTCTAAGCACAAGATGATATGATTTAAGTGTAGATGATAAGCCAACGATTTGTCTTCCCAGCCCATTGATATCCCAAGAGTATGCTGCTTAATTCTGGTATACTGCCAGTTCATAATAGATACTGAGAGTATACATTTATTCAGTTTGGCAAGAAATGTCTCCAGCTGACTTCTTTCAGATTCTATTGTGAACATATAAATAAGCAGTGTTCTTTTTTTTTTCTGCCACTGGTGGTTTAGGTATATTCCTGGAGAATAAGACCAAGGCCCTTGGAAGTAAGAACTGAACCAATCAGTTCGATTTATTCATATTTTATAGCTCAACATGGGACATGTATACTAGGTGTTTAATAAATATCCACAGATGACTAATGACCTCTGGAAGTTTATTTTATCACATAATTTTCAAGTAAAAATTAAATTTATTTTAAATTTTTAAATGAATATTCTGCTTTAAGAAAGTTCCACAGACATATATGGTTTTTATTTTTAAAACTATTTTATATAGCTTAAGCATCCATCATAAATGAAAAATGAATAACCAACTGAATTAACTACTTACTGGAAAAAGATATTTTTGAGATAACAGAATTTGACTGGGAATTATCTCCCCCTTCCTCCCTTCTTTCTGCTTTGGCACACTGGATGATATAAGTATAGACGAAAATAAAGGAATTTGACATTTTCATTAGCTTGTTACAGCTTTAATATGAGAAAATGTGCAATATCATTTTGACTCTTTGAAAATGAATTCTTACTTGATAAATATTTGAGAGACAAGACTTCTTTCAAAATGTGAGAACAATATAAAAATAAATGAAAGCACCCCTGAGTTGGGAAAACATTAAGCCCCAGTAGCATAAAGAAAAGAGGATTGTGTCAAATTTAAATATTTAAAAATTTAAACATTTGCATGTCAACCAATTATTTGTAGAGCATGAACATGGGCACATGCTTCAACCAACCAACAGCATCGGGGGTGGGGAGCATTTATTCCCCACTTCTCATATTCTCTTCCATGTGGAAGGAAACCTATTAGCATAATATTCTGGCCTCTAGTTTCTCCCCTAGTGATATAATCCAATGGCAATCTGGGTAGAGAAACTGGAGCATGTGAAATTCAGCCTGACTCATCTTCACTGGGTCAATCTTCGCATAGAGAGCACATGCTCTGATTTGCTCTCAGCCATGTGGAAGGAAGCTCAGCAGATATACCCAGAGGAATTCAAATCATTCTATGAAAAAGATACCTGCACATGCATGTTTATTGCAGCACTATTCACAATAGCAAAAACATGGAACCAATCGTGCTGCCCATCAAAAGAGGACTGGATAAAAACAATGAGGTACATACATCTACACAATGGAATATTATGCAGCCATAAAGAAGGACAAATGTATGGACTTCACAGCAACTTGGATGGATTTAGAGTCTATCATACTCAGTGATGTATCACAGAAACAAAGAACAGACTTGTTCTCACTCAGAAGTGGACCTTGAATAATTATCATAATATTATAAGAAAGCGATTGGCAGTGAAACTGCCAGGGGAGGTGATGGGGGGTGGGATTGACTGCGGGGAGGCACACCTCTCATCAACAAAGGTAACTGCATAATGAACATTTGTATACCTAACCTTAAATTGTGCCCACATCTTTAAAATAAAAAATTAAAGGAAAAAAAAAAGGTCCCTCTTGCAAGATCTGTGGTTTTCTGGTGCTGCCTTTAGCTGAGAGTCAAAACCTCTCTACTTCTGGGGTTCATATACGGGAAGCCTGTTGTGGCTGTACACTGAAGCAATATCTTCCATCCTAGTCTTTATGATAGTAGTGATATGATTACCTCTTCCTGCCCTTTATCTCTTTAAATGGATTCAAAACTCAATCCCCAAGAAAAATGGAGAAAAGTCTCTTTTTAAGAGCAATTACATTTTGAGGGAGAGTGATCATATGGTACAAGATTGCTGTCTATCATAGGTTGGCTTCTCTAGCTGCAAACTGCTCCTGACCAGAAGAATCTCATTTGGGGAGTATGCTGAAGGATACAGAAATAGAGCCAATATTCACATTTCTATGACAAAACTTCTACAGCCTCCTTTGGAGTTCTAGACATATATGATCCTTACAAGACATATAAATACGTATATGATCCTAGCAATCAAAAAGTAAACTCTTCCTTTTAATGAACACAAAATCACAAATATAACTGTAATGGTCATTACAGATTTTTTAAAGGAGATGTTTCATGCGATATTTAAATAACATATTTTCCTTCCATAGTTTTTGTTATGGCTAATTGCTTTGTGATAGACAGGAGTCTTAGCAATTTTTTTTAAGTGTCCAAATATTTCACTATAATCACTTTTTAAAAATACCCTGAAACCACAATTTTGTCATGTCCTATTATCTGATGCTGTCATATTAGGTTTTTTCTTGAAATTCGCAGTATATTCTCAACCAGCTGATATCCACATTCTGTATCTTTTGCCCATTCATTTGACCATATCCTTAGGTATACAGGACTTTTACCAATATACTTTAAAATTGTTTTTTGTTCTAGGTTTTTACCTTATTTTCTTTATGAGGTAACAACTGGGCTAAGCATTCCCTTCTAAAATATTCACTGTCAGTTTAAATTGAGTTGCAGGGCCTTTTCTCAAACAAATCTTGAGTAACTGGTATATAGTCATATATAGAGCACAATGCTACCTATGCAGTTATAATCACAATATCTTCTGAAATATCATATGGAGTATCCTCTGAATTATCAAAAAAAGAAATGTTATCCTCAATGTACTTTTATTATTAAACATATCCTTATTGATAACTCAGGTATTAAGCAGAACATTTTATTAATCAGAGCACTCTAGTGCCTTGCCTTTCAGAGAAACAACCTATGTGATTTTATCTGTCAGGGTATAAAGAGATGCCATTGATCATCAGATGCTCAAAACCTAGTTCTTTGGACAGTACAGCTGATACCACACCTTTTCATTCTCAGGACAACATTGACATACAAGTTAACATTTCATCTCAACAGCTTAATTTGGAAAAGACAAGATTACATCTCACTGTGAAAAGAAGGGATGGTATTGGAAAGCAAGAGGGACCACAGAGATATTTTTCAATGTATCAAAACATGGGTACTAGCACTTTTTGTAAAAATAAAGCAAAAACAGCAAAAACCCATCTTTTTAATTTCTAATTTACCCACATTAATAAAAAAGAACTAGATAACAATGAAGGTCCTCATTTGTGCATTCTCCTTTGCAACAGAAAATGGAACAGTCTATAGATCCCACCTGGATGATGAAGTTAACTCTTCCATATAGAAAAAATAAAAAAGAGCTGATCAAGAATTATTTGCTTTTATCACTAAAGTCAAAAATCCTAAATAGTTAAAATATAAACAAATCCTCCTTTTGTACCCCCAGAGGTTACTGAAAAGCTAATCAAAGATGCTTTTCATGCAAGGTATTACTAGGAGACTTCTTTTTTCCAAAGAGAAGCTCAGGAAAGGTTAAAACACAAAGATCGTGGTAGAGTACTAGGAACAGTTATTAAGTGAATAATGAATTATGCAATAAAAATTGTTCTTAAAGAAATAAAAACAAGAAAAGGATTGGCAGTAGTGGAAACCTGCTAGGGGAGAAAGGGGGCACACTTCATCAGTAAGGGTACCTGATCTCAAACCAGGTAAAGTGGGGACCAAAGTGTGGCCCAAACTTTACCTGTACAATAGTCATTTGTATACCTAACCATGAATTGTATCCCACATCTCTAAAATAAAAATTTAAAAAGAATATCAAATAAAATTAGAAAATAGCAACAACAACAACAAAGAAGAAATCTGTTATGCACTGACAGGTACAACTCAAGCATGTAGTACACAAGGAAGACATATATAAAATATGTGCATGACTTCTCAAATAACTTTTGCTAAATTAGTTTATCCAAGATGAGTACCTGCAACATTAACATATTCTCTTCTCATTACAAATATATTTCATTTTAATTAGTAGATTGGTTCTTAAAAAGGTATCTGAGAATCAGATTCCTTTTCTTCATTTCTTCAGAGACATTTCACCTCTATTCTCATTAACTTCAAATGGACTGAGCCAGGCTGTCAATCCCTATTAGGTAGGAAATTGGTGATTTATGAACAAGTGCTTATATTAAAGGGTGATTATTTATATTTCAGTTTTATTATCTTTGTTTTAAAAAGAGATTTGGAAGCTTCTTAAATGGATACTACCCTGATGTATTTGCATGCTTTATAAGTGTGAGTGTATTATGTACTAAATTTATCTTCAAATGCAGGACACCCCTATTTTGTGATTATAAATTTGGTGACATCAGAAGCCCAGTGTTTTAATACCTTCAACGGATGCAATAATAAGACACAGAAAATTAAAGAGAAAGTCCTAAGCCATAGATGAGTTAAAAAATAAGAAAAGTATTATTTCTCCATGTGTGGCTCACGTTTTTCAGTTAATCAGGTTTAACCACAGCCAACATACAACCAAAGAACAAAGGACTACAATAGACTTCCTATAAAGGAGCTTAGAGCTCTTCAATTTCCAGCAGCTCCTGGTGGTTGCTCCTCATCCTGTTCCTGAGTCCTGAGCCAAACCTTGGCCCATGAGTCAGAGTCCAGGCTCTGCTCCTACCTGCTGTCATCTGGAGGCACCCTTCCTTCCACTCCGGTTTTCTGCAAAGGTCAACTCCAAAAATGAGCACAAATTAATGGCTCATGTCCTACAAACATGTACTAATCAAGCCCATGATACAGGACAAGTGGCTGGATTTGTTCACAGAAATACTTACTGCAAAATCACATCCAGTACTCTTCTGGATGTCATCCACTGTCAGGCCTTCCCAGAGCTCAATCAGAGTCAGCCCTTTCTTCTTGTCCACGTCAAACACAGCCTGTCAGAACGAAGAAAATGGCAATGAAAATTGCTATCGCAATAATTATTTTATGGTACAAAACAGAAATAACTTCTCAAGTTCTTAAAGGAGAGACAAGTCTCAGAACAAAAGATGCCGAAAATCAGCAGTGAAAAAATGTCAACTGTCACTATGATATTTTGGTGAGAATAAATGCCAGCTTCCTAATCAGCAATTAATTGTGGAACAGTGTGATGCCAAAAAATAAATAAGTATTGACCATAGATGGCATCTGTTAACATTATAACAAGTTTTTTTTAAAACTACCTTCCTCCTTTTGTTAAGTCTAACACTTTTGGTCAAATGTTACCTAGGTCTTTACTAGTGATTAGAAGACAGAAAAGAATAAAGAAAGGGAGGGTGGAAGGGAATATTTGGAAGATGAAAGCACATGGATAATGGTTAAAAAAAAAGTTGATAAATGCTGCTGGGTAAAGAATTACAGGAAACAAAAGAAGGTGCTCTGAAGGGCTTAAAAGTAATTACGAAATAATTCCTGGCCCTGAAAGGCATCAGGTAACTGTTAAAACTTTCTCCTTAGGTCCTGTAAAACACACAGGTCTTGAGAAGAGAGCATGAGAATCTTCTTGGGTATGCAAGTCAAATGGCAATGCTTACATTTAGGACAAACACAAGAAAGCCAGTCTCACCCGAAATACTCCACTACAAAATTCTGTTCTGTGACACCCGGCGATGGTAGCGCCAGTTGGTATAGCTTGACCACAGCAAGTAAATCTGACTTCTTGTATCTGATTTAGAATACAAGCTTTCACACTTAAACAAAAGTCATTTAATATAAGCTTCCATTCAGGAATTCTTCAAAACACTCTTCTCAGATAATCAAGGGGCTCTGCTTAGATACTTGCAGTGGCAGGAGATTGACTTGCCTCAAGGCAGATAGTTTCTTGATGAGAAGCTCTAACCATGAAAATCCAGACTGCGTTCCTATGACCTTAACTCCCTTGTTCTACCAGTTATCCTCCACCACACTAAGCACTGCTTTCTCTTTCAACGCTCATGGTTGGTTTCCTCTTTTTCAGACTTAAGTGTTATGCTTCCCAGATCTTTCCTCTCTTCCCGATTTAGTTAAATTCAACTATTATTTGCAGTCTTAAAATCTTTATTTGCAACTGCCTTGGGCGTCAGGCCCTGCATTGTCATTTTAAAATACATTCCTGCTAGAAAGCTAATATTAAGACACAGCAACATGTGGAGAAAAGGACCCCAGCTTTTGAACTGAATGAGAATTCCACTCTCCTATATGGTAGCTATGCAACTTTTGGTGAATTGGTCTGTGCATTTGTAGGTGTATGTCATAAAAACCTTCTTCCTAAGATTGCAATATGGAACAAATATAAGAAAACATACTCTGAGCACTGTTCCTGGGTCAGACTAGGGACACTCTACAAGCACATTCTTAATTCTCAGTAGCTTGACATCACACTTGTGTGTGAACTCAGATCAAAGTCCTGAAATGGCTGTTGTCTTCAGGGGATTGACAATTTTCCCTAAGAACAAAACATCATTGGGACCAGCAATACTTGCATTCTTGGTTTGTTTGATGAATTCACAGAAAACTTGGTTGACACTACTAGAGAACAGGATTTAAATTTAAGAGAAAATATTTCAGCAAACTTTACTTATGTTTGCATATTTTTATATTCTAATTACTTTTCAGCAAAAATGTATGTTGCAAGAGAAAAAAAATTGAGAATTTTGAAATGTTTCTATATTCTATTAGCTTACTTCACTACCAAATAACAATTTTTAAAAATGGAGATTTTTTTCTCTGTAGAAAATATGTCTGAAACACTATTCACACCAATGTTGTTTTCCCCTGCAATATGAACAACTGTAAACTTATACAAATTGAACAAATAAGAGAAAAAAGAGGCTCTGGATTATGTTATCAAGAACAGGCACAGAAATGATTTACAAAGATAATTGTGGTATCATTAATATGAGACTTCAGTAATAGGGGAGAATAAAATCTATGGCAAATCCTAGAAAAAAACACAGAAAACATTCTTACAGAAATTGGAATAGGCAACAAATTCCTGATCGATTCTCCTAAAGTGAATGCCATTAAAATACGATACACAAGTGGGACCTCATCAAACTGAAAAGTTTCTGCAAAGCAAAATAAACCATCAAGAGAGTGGGGAGACATCCCAGCCCACAGATTGGGCAAAAATATTTGCCAGTGGTAAATCTGACAAAGGCCTAACAACCAGGATCTACAAGGAATTCAAATGTGCTGAAAGAAAGAAAAACAATTCTATTTTAAAAAATGGTCAAAATTATGGATTTGCAGCAATTTGGATGGACTTAGCATCTATAATACTGAGTGATCTATCACAGAAGCAAAGAACTGAGTATCACATGCTTTCACTCATAAGCGGACCTTGAACAATTATCATACTATAAAAAGGGATTGGCAGTAGTGGGAAACTGCCAGGGCGGCAGGCAGGATTGGCAGTAGTGGGTAACTGCTGGGCGAGTGGAAGGCACACCTCATCAACAAGGGTACCTGCATAATGAACATGAACATTTGTATACCTAACCCTAAACTGTACCTCGCATCTTTAAAATAAAAAAATTTTTGAAAAATGGGCAAAAGATATGAACAGACTCTTCTCAAAAGAAGTATGAGCAGCCAACAGATATAGGAAAAAATGCTCAGCCTCACTAGTCATCAAAGAAATGCAAATTAAAACCATACTGAGATACCATCTAACTCCAGTATGGATGACCATCATCAATAACTCAAAAAACAACAGATGCTGGAGAGGGTGTGGGGAAAAGGGAACACTTCTATACTGTTGATGGGAACATAAACTAGTACAACCTTCGTGGAAAACAGTGTGGCAATTTCTAAAAGATCTAAAAATTGACCTTCCACATGACCCAGCAATCCCCCTTCTGGGAATATACACAGAGGAACTCAAATCACTGTACAAAAAAGATACCTGCACACAACATGCTTATTGCAGCATTATTCACAATAGCAAAAACATGGAACCAACCGTGCTGCCCATTAAAAGTAGACTGGATAAAGAAAATAAATGTACATGATAGAATATTATGCAGCCATAAAGAAAAACAAAATTATGAACTTTGCAGCAACTTGAACTAGAGACTATAATACTCAGTGATTTGTCACAGAAAAAGATCTGAGTACTACATGTACTCACTCATAAGCAGACACTGAACATGTATCATAATATTGTAAGAAAGGAATTGGTTGTAGTGGGTCACTGCCATGGAAGGAGAAGGCACATAACATCAATAAGGGTACCCACACTTTATCTGTATGATGAAACCTGAATTATACCCCACATCTTTAAAAATAAGAGGAAAAAAAACCCTATGGAAAATTGACTTACTGCTTTAAAATTTTTTTTATTAACACCTTTATCAAACCTAAATAGCTCCCAAGGTCATGTTAGAAAGTCAAGCTTCTATTATTTAAAAAGAAAGAAAATAACTTACTTTCAAAATATTTTGAAAGATTTCCATTTAGTGGTTTAAGATGCAAACAAAAAAAATTGGTAAAAATGGTGACTAAAATGTAAAAGCTATAATACATTGTCCAATTATCGAGAATACTACTGAAACAACTTTGTCTTACAGATACTTTACCATGACCATAAAAGGATATATTATGGGTAAAACATTTACTCATAGTTCAAGTGCTGGTGAAGAAGGCATCCTTCATAACCTCATTTTAGTAACACAAAACTAGGAAATCAGGTCACAGCATCCACCAAAGTTTCTTTCCAAAAGCATCTAATAGAATTTTCCCTGGAGTTGACCATGGAATTCTAGTCCCTTAGCTGCTCATGGCAGGGCTGAACACATTTATTACCTTTAATGGCGCTATATTATCATATACTCATTCAACAAATATTTATTGAGCACCTACTATGTATAGAGCAGAGTGATAAGTATGCAACATTGCTTTACTTGAGGAATCCAAAGTTCCAGACTCAGCTGCCCTTCTCTGTATTCATTCTTGCCATGTAATATAATCTATAGTTAAGGCTCCAATGATCCCCATATACTAATAACTCCCACAAGTTTATTCCAATACTGACTTGTAAGCTCTTGTAAGCTCTAGATCTCAATCTCCAACTGTTTATTGAAACCTTAGTGGATGATCTCAAGAAAACCACATTGTGAATATCCATACTGAACCCATTCTTTTCATGCCTCTCACTGTTCCTCCTCCTACTCCTATAATCCTGGGTTTCATTAAGGACACAACAAGTCAACAATGTTCTCTAGTCAGAAAACATAGAAATCACCTATGTCTTACCACTTATTTTCAATTCATTATCAGATTACGTGAGTCCATCTCCTAAATTTCTTTGTGTTCTTCGATTTAGGATCTTGACATTTCTTGTCTAGATTACTGATGAATCCTTCTAACTGGACTCTGCCTCATCTCTTTTATTCCTACTCTCCATAGAAGCTACAGTGTTTTTTTCCTAATTTATTGTCTCCTCAGCTGCTAAAAAATCACTGAAAAATTCCTCACTGCCTTACTGATAAGACCCACAGTTTAAACAAGGCATGCACATCTCTCCCCAATTTGGCCCCTTACTGCCATTTCCACCTTAGCCTCTGGAATCCGCCATGCTCTTGCTCCTGCAGGTCCCCAAACAGGCCATGTTTTCTTAACATTGTCATGACTCTGCAGATTTTCTTCCTTTTGCCTGAAAGGTCCTCTATGGTTTTCTTCTAACTCGTAAAACTCCTCATCTTTCAAAACTCACCATTCAATCTATCAGTTTTCTCAGCAAGACAAGTACAGGTACTCACTGAATATGGGTCAACATCATGCTAAGTGCTGGATAAACAATGGTGAATAAGACAGGCAGAGGTTAGAGATTATTACAGTACAGTGGTCAGTGACAACTTAGGATAAGTATAAGGATTCAGAGAAGCACTCAGAGGATTTGGAGAATAGGAAAGACCTATAAGACAAAGAAACATATAACGGAGACATAAAGGATGAGCAGAAAGGAGCCAGAGGAACGAGGTGGGAAGAATGTTCCAGGAAGAGCTACAGGATGTGCAAAATCTCAGAAGAACATTGTTCAGGCGAGAATGCAATATAGTTCAGAGTATTTGAGAATGGCTGAAATAGAAAGTTGAGGCCGAAAGAAATAAACTGAGATAGTAGGAGAAACAGCACATACCATGCAATGCCTTGCAAAGCATGTTAAAAGCTTGCATTTGATACTACTTAAAAGCTCTTCTTGACATCTCTGCACAGGTTGCTGGGAGACTTTCCTCTACATTCCCAACTTAGCCCCTGGCATGTATGTCTATTATGGCTTTTATCATTTCTGTTCATCTAACTTCTGACAATGCTGGACGCTGGATGTCTAACCCCTCATTTAATGAGCTCCTTGAGGACAGAGACTGGACCATCCTCCTTTCTATAACCTACCATTGGGAACAGTCTGGCTCAGAGAAGGTAGTCAAAAAAATGCTTAAAGAATGAATGAATAAATTAAACAATGATGTGGTTAGAAACGAAGGGTGTAAAAGTTTTTTAGATAGCAGTAAAGTTAAATAATACAAGCTATGTCATATGAAAACAGTAGATAATCAGTGCCCAAATGAATGGTGGGCCACTCTGATGACAAAATTGTGTGCTAAGATGGTGTGAAACTTCTTCATGACAAAGATGGAAACTGTACTAGGTTTAAAGGACAAGTAGAATTTGGGGGGGACAGAGAATCAAGTGTGAGGTATTGCAATTGGAACCACTAAACTGGTAAGAACAAGGCCAGGGCACATATTTTGTTGGAGAGTAAGGACAAGGCTGATAAGAGAAGGAGAAGATTGGGGGAAGAATATTGTTAGAATTATCCTTAGAAAAACTACCGCTTTATTAAAGAAAACAGGATCAAGGACTGCTTTGCTATTATTTTCAGAGTAATGAATTCTATGAAACAAACCCTCTCCATAGTTCTGGGGGGATTCAAGAAATGGTAAAGACTCAAGGAATAAATGGTGAGATAAAAATATTCTGCCATCTTATCCACTTGTTCTTCTTTATAAGTCACCTTCACAGCATCCCACATACAGGTACAATTGAGCATAGAACCTTTCTTAAAATGTGGCTTCTAGAAAGTATTACAAACTTCCTAATCTATTTCAAAGGCCTGCTTTAGGATGCTTCTTGCCACACTTCAGTGAGGGTTAGTGAGCCAGATTAATGTTAAGACACTACTGCTATAGTTCTTGGCAAAGAAAACAGCATTGAAGGGCAGAATGCGGGGGGGAGGGGGACACATTGATATAGATAATTCTGTTTTGTGGCTTCACCAAGATATTGATCAAGAAAATAAGACCCTTCTAAGTGACTTATGAGAATTATGTTATTCCAACATCCTAGGTTCAAATCTCAGTAAGAAAGATGACTGAAGGCAGCTGCCAGTGATGCTTCTCTCTGACCTGAGCAGCTTTCACTTGTACCATTGGTCAACATTTTCCAACTAAGAAAAAAACTAAAGAGGTACTAAAATGGCTGGTGTGATTTGAAATCCCACTTTGTAAAAGAAGGCAGAAGGCAGATAAGAAACAGAATAGTTCCTTGGCTCACCGTGGGGCCTATCCTGCAATTTGCATCCAAATGATTAAAACCAAATTTTGACTGAGTTTCTTACAATGAAGTCCATCAATTTGTATTGTGACTTAGAAAAGAAAGGTAGAAATGATAAATATATCCATAACTTTGTACATATCATCCAGCTTGACATCTTAATAGGTAAAACATGGGGATCAATAAAACTTTTCTCTGATTATATCACACTGTCAAAGTTACCAAGAACAGTAGTTCAGTTTTGTGTGTATGTTTCCAGAGAGTTGCACATGAAGAATTCTATATTTAGAAACATTAAATTGATGAGTTATCCTGTTCATTCTATTCATGGTCTAAATTAATCCAATGAATATCAGCAAAATACACTTTCAGAAGGTAACAAAAATTTCTAAAAGGCTTATAAAAAAAGGGGGTGGTAGATAATAGAAAAAATAAAAAAAGAAAGTCACTTTACCTTTTCAGTAATAATGCGGTTGACACATTGCTTTCCAGTTAGTGGTAACGTACATTTCTCCATGATTTTATGTGCATTTCCCTGTTTAAAAAAAAGGGGGAGTGGTCAGAAAGCAATTTTTATTTAGAATTTGTATAACTGTAGGACAAACAGGATCCATCAGATATTACCTCCTAACTAAAGACTGTTTCAAAATTTTTGCAAGTCATACTTTCTACCCTCCTTGTGGAGGTAGCTTTGTGCCCTTGAAATAATTTAGGAAGAATGCAAAATGAAAAGCCAAAGGTATGCATGATATAGTTGGGAAACACCTTGCCACAAATTTGGCCTCTTAAGACTCAGTCTTTGTATTACTGAATGTGAAATTTCACTTCTAATATCCTGATTACTTTTCCCTTCCAGGAATCAGTCTCCTTAAAAAACGTGAGCAGCTATCTGCTCAGGATATGAAGCATACAAAGAACACAGACACATCATTTCTCTTTTAAAAATATCTAGTTTTATTTGTTAAAAAATAATATACACACAGAAAATAGCAGCATGTTGTCTCTCTTATTCACCCTTAGACTTTCTCTCAGAGTCCATTTTAATGTTTTTTCAGTATTTTCTTCTCACATCCACATTTTAAAATATTATATTTACCAAGCTTTATTTATTTCTTGATTGATCTGTTTTAGACATTAACTACTGATTTCCCATTGTGGCAGATGAGGACTTTCTCTTGCACCCAGACTTCAATAACTTTCCTCATCATCTTCAATTGTCCAAGTATGGACATGTCACAATTTATAGTTAACAGTCAGAATTTTCATCATTCTGACCTAATGACCATGTAAAACTCTTCACTGCTGGGCCTGGCAGTGCATGTAGTATACCACCATTATACTCACTTTCTTACACAGGTATTTGCTCTTCCTAGAGTTTGTCAGAACCTTAGTTTGTGCATTAGTTAAATGTGTGAGCTAACCTAAATACACATTTTTTCACTTTCCTTAAGCCTCAAACATAAGAACTAAGAGTAGAAACCAGTTTTTCACAAACCATTAACTCCCTCCCCCTCTCAGCCCCACTACTCCCGCCTGCAGTATAGAACCTACAGGTCTGTGAGGCACATCTGCAGAACAAGGTTGAAACACTGGCTCTGAGGAACTAACCTTTGGGTCATTTTCTTCTGCATATGATTAAGTTCTTTTTAAAGAATCAAGCACCAAGAGCCTCAATTAGTATTTCCCTAACAAAACACATTCTAGATCTTTTAAAAATAACAAAATGCAGCCGGCTCGGTGGCTCAGTCTGTAATCCCATGCTTTGGGAGGCTGAGGTGAGTGGATTGCCTGAGCCCGTGGGTTCGAGACCTGCCTGGGCAACTTGGCAAGACCTCATCTCTACAATAAATCAAAAAATTAGCCAGGCGTGGTAGTGCATGCCTGTAGTTTCAGCTACTTGGAAGGCTGAGGTGGAAGGATTGCCGGAGCCCAGCAGGTCGAGGCTGCGGTGGCCTCTCTGCACTCCAGTCTGAGTAACAGAGTGAGACTCCAACTCAAAAAAAAAAAAAAAAAAAAAAAAAAGAAATGCTTCTATTGCTTCCTTCTGGATCTAAACATAACACATTTGAAATATCAATATTTTACCTGTTTAAATGTGCACCTGCTACCCAGTTTATATCTCTCCCCAAAATGGTGTGAGACCAAGTATATGGCCAGAGGCAATAGGTTTCAGATAGCTGAGTTCAATTAAGATATTACTTCTTCTGATAATCTGTAGACTCAGCAATGTGCCAGTAATTAAAAGGTTTTGGTGTGCTTAAGGCAGTGTAAAGTATAAAAGATATTCAGCAGTATTTCAATGAATGCATGCAGGAATGAATGGGAAGAGAAAGGAAAGTCTATTGAGAATCTTGGGTTAAAAAAAAAGAAGCTCTATTACCCCTAATTCAGTCAAAACTGCTGCTAAGTGCATCTAAAGTAGATAGACATAACATCTTTAAAAACAAGTTATGTTTCTGGATCTTAGTGTAAAAAAATTTATAACTGTAGAAATAAAGCTTCATTTTCACTTAATTTCTAATTATCTATTTTCCATTTGAGACTTCAAATTTTGCACATGCCACAGAAGTTAAATTAAGCAGCTGAAATTAATGATGAATATTTGAACTTCTACAGTTGTCAGGTCTCCTTATATTTAATATAACTTAAATAAGGCATGTCACAATGAATTCCAGTCCTGACTTCAAACAAAGTGAACAATCTGTAGGCCTCTGAAGAACATTTTCTGCAGGGAGCTCTTACTTTGTTCTCATTATTTGAGCAAGATCTAAATCTGGTGTGAAAGGAGCTACTTGGATTTTAATGAAAAACCAATTCCATTGGTTTGAAATTCAACTGACAGAATTAACTGTACCTTACCAACAGAGACCTTCTATAGATCATTTTCTGCATAAACAATATAGCACAATAGTTAAGCGTGTGGGTCACAGCCAAAAGACCTGCATGTAAAACCCAGCTTGCCCCATACTATCTGTGTAAGACCCATGTGCCTGTACTTCCCCAACCACCCTACCTCACAGGGTTATTGTAAGGCTTACATGAAATGTGAGGCCTGGCACTTAGCAAGTTCTCAATATGTGTTAGCTGGTATTATTAACATAATCCATATTAAATATTTCTATAATATACCAGGGAATTAAATTCCTATATGAATTCTGACAGAATTCTGAAGAAAATGGCCAAAACACAATTCACAAAACTAAGGAAAACTAAACATAAATTTGAAGGCAAATAGTATGGCTTGCCTAGGAAACTGGCACCAAGTATAAATATTCTTTCAGTTAGAACAATGGAGCTAGATGATTCCATTCACATTTAGCTCCAAGACATAACACAGATCAAGGAAAAAGAGAAAATGAGATGCAGAAAGATTAAAAAATGTCACAATTTCAATATTCAGCAATAGGTTAGCTATGAAGCCAAAATATTACTTGCTCCCACATTCGCACTCTATTCTAACCATGCTGAGCTGAGCCGTACAGTGTGCTATGGAAGCTGCATATATTAATGATTCACACAAAGGAGGAACAAGTGCTGAGTTTTTAGTATTTAAAAATAAATCCTAATAAAGAGATGCAGTATAGTGCAGCAGCAAAGAACACTACATTGGGAGATCAAAAGCCAGATTTTTAGTCTTACCTATGCCAGTTAACAGTAATTTGATCCCTTTGGTTCTTTGGGCTATAGTTTGCATTCTCTTCAATTGCCTTATCCTCCTTACCTAATCATTGTAGAAATCAAATGAAATGTCTTGAAAGTAGAATACACTAGGAGGGGTTGCATCTATGTACAAATATTCAGAATTATTTGGGTCTTATCACTCTTCTGTTTTATTTCCTTCTCCAGTAAGGGATGTCAGGAAAAGCAGATAAACGAATACAACGTGTAGCATTAAAAATGCTTTTACTACTCCTCAGAGCTTCTGACTTCAATATGACCTTATTTGTTAACTTCAACACAATTGGTGAATGTCTAAATCCCTGACCTTCTCCTGCTTCCCTGGTTTTTATTTTGTTCTCCTTTAGCACTTATAGGCCTCAAGCAAGTCATAGGGTAGTTTATCATCTCATTTTTAAAGGACTTAAATCTTGAGTACTTTCTATTACTTGCTTCATGGTGAACTCTCTTTAATACTTTCGATGTCTGAATGACATCTTGGGCCTAAATTCTGCAGTAACAAACAATTCTAGTTAAATGGTAAAACACCCTCTTCTATCATAACAGTAAGTTTCATGTTTTCACAATGAACTTAATCTCAAATAAGAAACTATCTTTTTCACAACAGAATGATTTTTGTATTTAAAGTCAACACTTCATTCACCCGAGGCAACTTAATGTTTAAGATTCTACTTTATATATTTTTTTAAAGTCTCATTTCAGACTCTTTTCTGTTAAGTGCTCCTTAAAAGTGACTGCAATATATTTTTTTCTTTCAGGTGCCTTCTCTGGCAAAACCCTACTGATTAACTACACAAAAGATACAAACCTAAAAGTTTCTTGTTCATAAAATAAAAAAGTAAAAATAAAACAACCAAAAAAAAAAAAAAAAGCCTTTAAGCCTCTGTTCATGCTACCTGCTACCTGGAACACATATAGCCACATACCTTATCACCACAGATTCAAATGGCAATACCCTTTCTACTCTTCAGAACTTGGCTCAGGGCCATCTTCCTTGATGGTTCTTCCTTGGAAAAACTGCCAACACCCCTATCTGGTCCCCTACTCCAGTGTCCCAGGGGCACCCTCCAGTCTGTGGCCCTTTTGGGTGCTCCTGTGCTTCCTTCCCTCAACTCACATGCTGTCATTGTTGACCTCCTGCCACCCCCCTACCCCCACTAGACCCTGCGCTCGCTGAATGCTGAGCTTACAGCATTTGTATCTACAGCAATGAGTAGAGCATTAGGGAAACCACAGAGATCAACAAATGCCATCTGAAAATTATGTTATATAAAAAATTATGTTGTGTGTATGTGTGTGTGTGTGTGTGTGTGTGTGTGTGTGTGTATTTTTAAAATTTTAGTTGGCGTCTTACTCTCACAGCTACTGTAGCCTCGATCTGCTGGGGTCAGGTGATCCTTCTACCTCAGCCTTCCAAGTAGCTGAAACTACAGGTGTGTACCACCACACTCAGCTAATGTTTTTATTTATTGTGGTGATGGGGTCTCACCACGTTGCCCAGGCTGGTCTCAAACCCTGGAATCAGGCAATCCTCTTGCATCCGCCTCCCAAAGTGCTGGGATTACAGGCATGAGCCACTGCACCTGGCTGATATTTATATTTCTAATTCAAGGAATTCCACAGAGTTGGAGCTATAAAATGCCACATAAATAATGTACATGGACCACTAGAGGCTGCTTTGTGGTTCTAAGATATGTATTTACACATTTCTGGCATCTCTTAGCTCACCAGGAGAAGCACAGCTAGCAGAGGGACTTATAAGCTTTAGGGCAACAGATAAAGGTATGATAAAATGGAGAGGCAAAGACACTGCAGCATGAAACATACAAATGTAAAAGCAAAGAGAGAAACAGTGAA